GCTAAATTGCATGAGAGAAACATTTACTCTTAGGATATGCTTCACACAGCAATTAGGGTAAGCAGTACAGTCTTTAAAAACACTTTTAAAAAATATAAGTATTCAGGGCATGTTGAATATGATGTCTCAGAAGTAAATCAAATCAACAGCCCTGCGATCTTCAGAAAACTAGTGATTTGAGCATTTCAACCACCAAAAGGAAAAAAAATACTTTGGTCTTTGCTGACTTACAGACAGAATGAAGAATATCTATGTTTTTATCTTAGCGTTTTATCTTTTATCTTAATTTGCTGCAATTTTTTAAAATAGTTTAGGATGTACAAAAATAACAGTAGAACAAAAGTGCTCCCACTAGTGGCAAGGTGTAAGAGCAAGCGAGATGTTATTAATGGAAGGATTTTCTTTACAGGTACTTTGTGAAGGGAGAGATCCCACGGACACGTGTGGATCCCGGGAGGGACAGGCCGGCATGCAGCAAGGGAGCAAGAGTCTCCCTGTTAGCTGCAGGACAAAGTCCCCTTCCACAGAGAGTGACACAGAATTATGAAAGTAAATAGTTTCTTTAGCTGGTAACCAGTATTTTACAGTGTGCTTCTTTGTCCTATGGTGGCAACTACACCAGGTTTGCTAGTCTACTGTGCTTTGGTTCGAGTTTCTGAACGAGAAGGCTCCCAGGAAATCACAGGGTAATTATTGATTACAGGCCTGGGCACGGAGCAAAGTCATCTTGAAGGGAGAATGGAGGTACTGCCGATGTCTTTGAAGACTCCGCTGCCATTATGTATGAGGTGTTTCATCAGTATCCTTTCTTGGATGAGTAACATGCATTATACACGGGAAATTTCAGCTCCTAAGCTGGTTGGCAAAGCTCACCTCCCTGGTCTCCATCCTCAAATTGTTCCTCCCCTGGCTTTTTCATAGCTTTTTGCTGCCCTCGCTTGCAGGCAGCACCGCTCACAGACCTGTACGCTGGCAGCTCCCTTGCACAGCCACGGTAATCAGCACAGCAGGGTGGCTGAGCTGGGCCACCACAAAACACTTTCACACTGGGTCCACACCTCTGGTACAGGGACACGACAGAAGAACTCTGGACTCGAGAAATAAAAGTGTCATTTTGCAAAGCTAAAGGAGCTTGTCCAGCGATGACAGAGGCTGGGCATGGCATGGCACGCAAAGAGCAGGGCCCCAGGGCTGCTGCTTGTCACAGGGCAAAGGAAAACTCTTGTGTGTGTCCAATTTCCTCTGCTCTTGTTGCTCTAATAAGCCATCTGGTCTGGAAACACACAACTGCTCCCTGCTGCAGCGCCCAGTGCTGCAATGCTTTCTGCAGTCTCAACCCGTAAGTTTGTAAGACACAAATAAAGAAAAGTCAGGAAATTCATGACTGGCCAATTTAGCATTTCCTTTACCATTTCATGAACTCACAAATCAAGCAACTCATGCATAGGCTTCAAAACAACAACAAGGTCAATTTTTCTTCTTCATATATAAAGGGGGCTAATGACCACGGTACATTAAGACCAATTAATCACTCTCCATGATAAATGTTCTGTCATTTTCCTAAGGTGTAACACCTTGAAGTCACACTACAGAGAAGTGGGAAAAACCTACTTTTCCCTAGTTCAATGAAATTCTACACTGAGCACTGCCCATGATGCAAATCAATGAAAATTCCAGTTTTCAATTACATTAAAAAAAAAAAGAAAACAAAAAAAGAAAACAGAATTGGCTGCGTACGCTGGAAGGGGACAGCTGGTGAGCTGACAACTTCTGGAGGTGTGGAGAAACCAGCTTTGAACTTTTCATGCCTGCCTCAAGCTGTGCTACAGCACCGGCACCTCAGAGTCAAACTTTACCGCTGATGAGTTACAAGGAGGAATGTTTAATTGCAGATTTGGAGTGCTTTTAGATGCTTTCCCCCCTTTTAATAGTAATTTAGAGAATTAAAGGCACTTTAGAAAATCTAGGACATGAGATGTGTGGCTGGAACAGTAAGTGTCAGAACTGAGCTTGCCAGTGCGATGGTAATGCACACGCACTTGGCAGCCAAATTATGGCCGCATAATGACACGGTTATTTCATTTTCACAGTCAGCACAGGGATTGTTGGACGGGGCTCGGTGTCCGATGGATGACTGGTGCTTTGCTTCTCCAGGAGTCCAAAAAAAGAAAGCACACAGCTGAATTTGTTTCGTGTGGCCAACCGCAGGTCCCTCAGCCTGGTTGTGAAGCGTTGAAGGCCTGAAGATATGCTACGCCATAAGATAAGCAAAGCCCTTACTGTCCTCAGATGACACTTCCACAGAAAAAAAATAAAAAAAATTAAATACAGTTTGATCTAAGGACTTCTTAATGAAGAAAGAAAATATCCAATAATCAGCTCTTATCACAAAAGCACTTGATGATGGAACTTGCAGAGGCCAGGATCAAAGAACGGTACTGTAAGTGGTCATACTCACTGGGACGGGAGAAAAGATGGGCCAAAGGTTCTGGCGACTCGTTAGAGAGCTGCTGATGAACTGAGACATGTAAGGAAATTGGTGTGAAGAGAAAAGCCTTCACAGCTTTGGATCTTCATGCTCTCACTTGTGTTTATTCTGCATTTTTAAGTGCCTGGAGAAATGAGTAGGCACTTTCAAATGTAAATGTGAAAAAGTAAATAAATACCAAATTCTTAATTTAGCAGTACTGCAACTCTCACTTACAGAAAAATTGAAGTATACAATTTAAGCCATTATAATGCAGTTTTCACCCTATGTTTCTACTAAATAACTTTTAAAAATAATTTCTTCAAATTTTTTTGACATGTATTTCCACATTCCTTCCAATATTATTTTCATCTGTTATCTGAAGGTAGCACTAAGAAGAAAATGCAAGAGGATATATACAAACAGCAGCACATCAATGAGACTTGTGTCAATTAGTCCTGAGTTAGCATTTCCATTACGGACATGCCTCCCCCTGTAAAGCACGCACACCTGGTCTCAGACCAAGCACAAATAACTAAACTAAATTAAAACAACCTGGACCTGTGCATACTACAACGAGAAAAACACTTCAGCCCTCCCCAGTGCAGAACCCACCACAGCCTGCTGCCAGCACGAGGGCAGGACAGCCGCGGCCTCCATGATGCCACCACTGCCACCACGCTGGAGAGACTCCATGGGGGGCTTGTGGCCACCAGCCACCTCCCAAAGCTGCCAGAAAGCCCCTGGCCACCTCCGACAAAGGGGACAGTGCCAGCTGGGTGCCCACACCCAGGGAGGAGGCTGCCCAGAGAAAGGCCAGAGCCCCCCAGCAGGTCGGGCCTGCTGACGGCAGGAACCCCTGAGGAGAAGCAACATCACCATCACAAGACTTCATTAGCCCAGTTGAGAAGAATTCAGTAGCCAAGTTAGAAAAATTAATAAAAGTAGAAGCATTACTTTACATGTTTTGCAGTCTTCTAGTGAGTCATCTGGGAAACAGAACTCCTCTTTTTTAATCAAAGATGGAATGAGCAACGGCAATAACACCACCAGCTTTGCCCATTCATGTTCATCCCAATCCTAATGTTTTCACAATTCAGCTCTTTAATTTCATCCCAGCTAATAAAAAAATAGTCAGATGATAACGTAGTCACCCAGAAGATGGGACTTCGTGAAAATTTTGGCAATTCCAACAAATGATATATCACTATATTGTCAGTGCTTATTCTCCCATATGTTAATTGGATGCTTCCACTAAAAACCTCTAAATAATTATTTTTTTAGTTGATAAAAATGAGAATGTTTGTAAAAATATCAGAGGAAGAAGTGTAGTACACAACTTAATTTTTTAAAAAGTCATCACCAACCCTTCAATTTAAGTCTGAAAGATGTTGCATTGAGAAATTTTCATAATATAGAAGAATTAGTATAGAAGTTCACCACTGAAATAAAGGTGCCGTGCAAAGTTCATAAAATTTACAGCTCCCATCCTTTGAAAACAAAAGTCTGACTATCTGTAGAACACTCTGCAGAACAACCACATTTTGGTTTTGTTCAGCTCGTTGAGGCTGCCATTTAAGAATAAGAAAGTGTAACAGCAGGAAGAAACCTATTATTTATAAGAATTTGGATAAAAACAGTAATTAGCAGTAGACACAGCTGAGTTTTGCGAATGTGTAGCTATAAAAACAGCTGCTCTTTTCCACATGTAAAACTGGCAATTGTTTTACATGAGTACTTATGTATTGTCCCTATACTTTAAAATACAAATCTATGCACCCATATTTAAAAATTGCCTTTAAAAAAATACACGTATTGCCTTTAAAAAAATACACGTATTTCATATTTTATATAAAGAACAGTGCTGTCTTACCTTCTGTAGCAGAGGGTACGAGCCCCTTTCTGGTGCTCTATTATTATGAATATATACATATCATCTAATTCAATTAAAACATAGATCTCAGAAAATGAAAATTTTATTCTCTGTGAAATTATTACATTCATGGAGAGCCACTGCAAAATCAGACTTCTGCTTTTATTATTATTATTTTCTTAATTCGGGGGTCTACTTCATTTCATGTGATTGACTCGTTTTACAAGGTCTTCAGGAAAATGTCCATTAAATGGAAAATGGTAAGGAGGAACTTTTCTCATGCCATGCTTTCATCAGAATACATGACCATCGTAACTGCTTTGTAATAGCACTTGTCCATTGTCTACAGATATCAAAATATCTGTAGGTATTTTGGGGAATCAAATGTAAAACCAATCAGAAAGATAAGAGCACAGCTCCCCGTGGCACCCAACTCCACATCTGTTCCTTGTCCACTCACAAGCATCAGCCCCATGATGCTGGCAAGACAAGAATTTAAGGGAGCAGCAACCTTACTGAAAAATGTACCATCATTCAGACGTGTTCATATTCAAACCTCCCAGCCAGCACGTGGCAGGAGCCGAACTGCATCATTTGTACCACCGTGGCCAAGAAGGAGGGCAAGGGGAGCCAAAAGCATGGTGTCAGGGTGGCACTGACCTTGCTGGAGCAGGGGGTGGTGGAAGGGGGGCACGGGCAGCTGCTCTGTCCTTGCTGGCTCGCAGAAGTAGGCGTGCAGCCAGGCCGTGCACTGCTTCAGCGGCTCCGTCATCCCCTCCGCGCCTTCGCACACCTCGCAGCCCGCCGACGCCTCTGCCCTGCGGACAGAGAGAGAATTGTAAAATTATTAATTATAAAAGTTATAAAAATGAATATTCATACTCCCTGCATTAGCAGAAGAATGAATCATCTCAGAAGCACTCAATCGTGAGTCACAGACTGAGAGTCTTTTTTCTGCTCTGACAAAAGTGATGAGAGTCATAACAGCAGTAACAAAAATTCATCCTCATCACCTCCTAAAATGCAACAATGACACATGGCTGCTTACACCTGCTTAAAAAAAAAAAGGAAACACCAGATGTAAGTGGGAAACACTGGGGAGCAAGGAGATGAAACCACCCAAGTCCAAGGGGCTGGTAGAGGCCACATCCTCATGCCTCCCTGGAAGTGAGGCTCCTCCACCACATCCCCTACGGGCACAGTCCTGTCTCCCCAGGGACCTTCCCCAGGGAAAGAAGAAAAGGAAACAGATTTCTGCAGAGCCAGCGCTTTCCTCTTCCGCGTTTCCTTCCAGCGACGTTGGCAGGTTTCTGCTTTCCTCCACTTATTGAATTGGAAGGAAGCAATTGAGAACTCATTTGATTTTCAATGGCAGCTCATGCTTTCAGGATACTGAAGAGCAAAGCAAACGAACAGAAAGCACCCGCAAACAAAAATGTCCTTTCTCTCTTGCTATTTTTTTTTTATTCTTTTTTTCTGGAAGAGCAATGCCTGTGTGAGAGCACTGGAAATGTGAACACCAGATTTGCAAATATTCAGACATGTTTCCCCATATGCCATATGCCCTTGGTTAGGCAAAGCAGCGTCAGTGAAGAGATCGTGGTGCTCTGCTGGTGCTTTACAAGACCGTGGTGTGGTGGGTGCAGAGACTGGTTTTAGCAAACCCATAAGCAAACACAGCCCATTGGCAATGAACCCAAGAGAAACCATGGGAAGAGCAATGAGACAACATCAAAAGCGACTGCCAAAACAGCAACCCCTGCCAGCAATCTTCTAGTACCCTGAATCTTAAATACCACCGATACACCATCCTTTCTGATTTCCTGCTTATTGCATTTTATTTTATTTTATTTTTTCCCATCTGGAAATATAGCCAGACCCCAGAACTGTTTCTCAACAGTATGCTGGTAAAACCCAACAGAATAGTCTTCTGGCTATTGGCTGGATTGTCACAAGGGAGTAGAAAGTAGAGAAAATTGTGGAAATATCAAAATACATGAGATCCTGAAACAGAAGAAAAGCAGAGTATTTCTGCCGTACAGTTATGGGGAAAAATCAAACCAAAACAAATTCCCCAGCATGCTCGAGTGTGCTGCAAGTGAGAGAAAATATTTTGTTAGTTACCTCCTAGCAGAAAGCCTAAGAAAATTAAATGCATCATGTACCACTAATGGCATGAAAGACACCGGGTCTGCTTTTGCCACAAGGCACCTTTGCAAAAAGACCTAACACCTTCAAATGCTTGATCCACAAAAGCTCACGAAGCTGAACACAACAGGACACCCGTGTAATCAGACACCAACCCGCCCTGCCTCTGGATAGGATAAATGATGTGCAGTCGGAAGCTGTTTCAGGGTTTCTCTCAGAAGCAAAACCCTCACTTGTCTGGTGCATGATCAAACGCCCCTGCAATTTCTCCCAGCCCCAACTCATTTTTCTGATTAATTGTTAACCATGGAAGGCCACATAATTACTGATTAGAAAGTGGCATAGAAGAAGAGGGACACAGAGGTGGACAATTAAAATTCTCCAGCAGCACAAGAATATGACGAGTTGATGACTTGGAGTGGAAGAAAAGCAAAACTGCAGAATCAGCTTTGGATCCAGTCTGCTAGAAATTAAACGCAATCCCATTTCTCTTTCCATTTACTTACCAAACTACTCACTTTTTTTTACTTTGTTTTTTTTTTTTAGTGGAGGCGGAGGGGGAAAGTAGCATCAGTTTATGAAACTGATCTCTACTTTATGTTATTTTGCAGTGCAATAATTTCTTTGCTAAAAAAAAGAAAAAGAAGTCTGAGAATCTGTGCATAAACATTTTCACATGAATATCTGTGTGACACAGACCTCAAACCCAAGCTCTCGACACCAAGGATAATCAGTTATTCTGCACATGTACAACACTCAGCAGAATAGGGCTCAGTTTTACTGTGGATTGTTAGAGCTATGACAATATCATAACTACAGAATATAATAATGCCTTTGAAATCTCCAAGACAAGTTGGGAGACTTTTCTGCTCCATTTATCCAGAAGAGCATAGAAAGCACTCAAAACTACAGTAACCTTATGGTTTTCACATCATCTTGCTTCACATACTTGGGAGTCTGGAAGTGATTTGGGCTATAATATCATAATAAAACCAAAAGAATACATCTCCTTGCTGCTCTGTGAGCAGGCAGCCCCCGAGCGGCCTCCCACCACCGCGGCCTGAGGCCTGCACCCAGCACCGCCGGTCTGCCCTGGGTGGGGGGCAGCACCCCCAGGTCGGTGGGGTGCAGTGCTTCTGAAATTGATGCTGTGGGCTTCCTGGGGCTTTGCCTAAAGCCACAAGGCAACCTTCAGGCCTTTAGCTTCTTATCTAACAGTCAGGAGCAGCGTCAAGGCCCACCACAGGCCCCTCTCTTTGAAAAGACAGGAATTACAGCAGCTGCTTTGCCTATTTGTGTGGCTGGGGGTGCTACAAGAGCCTGCCAGATACCATAGCACATCTACCCCAACACAAGGATATGTTTTCACCACCACCACACATACTTCTCGCTTCCACCAGGTCTTCCCTGGCACAAAGGTTTGGATGTAAGGCTTAATTGTAATTTATAAGGAGAGCCTGTTATCACCGCTGAACATCTCCAGATATTTTTCTGGGTGGTTCTCCCATCACTTCATGTGTTTTCACATCTCCAATCTCCACTTTCTACCACAGTCAGGAAAAGCAAAGCTCTGCAAGAAGAGGTGGCACTTTCTAAGAGCGCATTGATCTCTTCTGCTGTAGAATACGAAGTCGATTCACCAACATACACGCTGAAAGGCTCACACTGGCAGAAAGATAAAAAAAATCTTCACCTTAACTTTGCTTGGCTAGAAATGCTAACAACTATTCCTGGGAATTTGATGACATTAATAAAGAAAAAGAAAGAACATAACTAATGCATAGGCGTCTTCTCCTGGCCCTCCTTCCCCTCCCTTTTCTCCTCCCCATTCTCTTTCCAAAGTTGCATAGCAGTATTCCTTCTACAAACTACCTCGTCATTAAAAATTCAACTTAAAACACCAGCTGCCTTTAAAAGGCTTTTCTGAGGCTTCAAAGCCACACTTTGGTCCGACTAAACCATACGTCTATTTCAAAAAGCACGGCAGAAGTAGTCTCAAAACATTCATAAGAAGAAAAGGAGAGCAGATGAATTACGTTACGGGAAATTTTTCCCCCTCGTGTGAAATTCCTCTTTCAGTGTTAGGCTTCCTGGGAAGGTTGAATGCCCATTCCAAACATTAGTCTTTCATCATGTCAAACATGAAGATGGACAGGAAAAAGTTTGTGTAATGTTAGAGGCAAATGCCCTTCTTACATTAACTAATTGTGCCTCATCTTTAGCAATGAACAAGAAAAGGGCTCCCTCTTTTCTCCATGCTCCTTCTCTTGGAGAAGGGCACAGGAAGGGACTCACCGACCTACCTGCAGAAAGCTTAAGTCTCAAATCTGTGGTTCAACAATATATGTATATGTATATATATTTTTTTTATACAGGAAAATAAACCAAGCATGTTCATGTAAAAATGAAAAAAAGGAGAGGGGGACAAAAAAACAAAAAGAAGCTATAAGAAATCCAACTCCTTTATTTTTGCCTTGGAGAGTTGCATTACTTTTTCTTAAAAAGCACCAGCACCTTTTTTTTTTTTTGCAATGTGGCTAGAATAATGAGAAGCATTTATTTAAAATGCAGTAGTGTTATTTAAATCACTCACACTTCCACTGGATTCTTTCACTGCAATTGCTTTCATTACTGAACGGTATTAGCTGCTGTCCGGCTTCTCGAAAAATTCCAAGTGGCGTTTCTTTTTATATTTTTACCTGGTCATTAAGTAATAACTATAGGGGTTTTGTTTGCATTAGTGAGGATGATGTGTGTTCAGTAAGTTAGATGCCCTTTTTTAAAGAAACAAACAAACAAATAAACAAAAAACCCCAAACATTTTTCTGTTGATGTTAAATGGCTACTCAGCTGCAAATGACTGACTCTTCTACATGGCTTTATTATGTGATGCCTAACTAAAACTACATAGTCTTCAAATAGAAATAACATGAGTTTTTCAAGCTATAAAAAGCAGACTAAAAATATATATATTTTTTTTCCTAAAGTTTTGGATCTCTCCCAAGAGAAGATTCTTTCAAGGCCAGGAGCAACTGCTGCTGCTGCAGACCTCCAGCCCATGTGTTCAGCTCATGGTGGTGACAAAGCCCAAGAGCAACATAAGGTCTGTCCCAGCATGGGAACCCACCACAGCCTGGGTGCAGACTTACTGCTCCAGTTTACATGTACAATAGCTATTCCACATCACTCTTACTGAAATCCCATGTATTTATTTCAGTTTCAGCTCTTTTTAAGCCTGACCTCCCCACCTAGGGAAGTCACCAGGCTCTCGCTTCCATGCAGCTGAGAGAGGTGTCCTCCTGAGGTTCCTATCCCAGCCGTGTCTCCTCCATGACTTCTTATAAATTTGCATGTGATGAAATAAAGGAAAATATGGTTTGCGCAAAGGAGAAGAAAGTCAGAAACGCCACCTGTTTCAGTTTAACAGGATCCTTCCAAACCATTTGCCAAGAACTGGAAGTTTCTAGCACGCTTCCAAAATAAACATGTAAGCAGCAAATTGGCTTCAGTATCATTCTAAATATCTTAACCATTATGAAAACCAGAGAAATGCTGTGTTTCACGACGAAAAGCCTCAGCGGGTACCCATCTTCTAAACTGGTAGGATTTTAATTATTTATTTTATTTCTGAGCTCCTTTTTGCCCCTGTCCATCACTTATAAAACTTAAC